AAAACTTTCGCAAGATTTATAATATGAGTTCATTTCTTTACAGTATACCTTAATCCGATCCCGAGAGTGGCTGGCCTTAATTTATTTGTACGTCACGCATTCGTCACTACTTTCTTTCAATCCGAGTGACCAACCAGCCATCTTCACCTTCACGTTCCCATATACTGAAGATTGCACTTCTGGATTCGGTTCTCATTGACTGAATATTTTCGCCTTTACTATGAAGATGAATCATTCAAAGTCACTCAAAATTTTGTTTGATGAATTAAAATAAAAGCTTCTTAGATTATTTCTTTAATTAAATCCCTGTCGCTTGTGTGAAAACCTCACAAATGACTGATGTCTCACCGACTCACTCAATCACTCAGCCCGGACATCGCTAGGCCAGACTGCAGTGTACTCAATTAAACTATCAATTGTACATTGAACGAAATAATTATCAAGAAAAGAGTAAAATAGTGAATAGTTGCCAATTATTTAGAATTCTGATATCACGTCAGATATTTGAAATATACTAAAAAGAATGAATAATCGGAAGTTGTGTAGTTCAAATTAGGTGATCTTATATTCTCGATATTTTCCCTGCAACTAAATACCTGCCATGTAAAGATGCTAATGGATTAGCCAAGCCTATAAACATTAGAAATTAAAATAAATATAATAATGGTATTGTACAGACTAGGTCTAACCTCTATTAGCCGTCCTCTGTCCTTATAAGTGGTTCTTTACATAGTAATGGGAGCATAAATACAGCTTGTCCATTAGTCAGGGTTTGGACTATAATAAATGACATTATATATAATAATGGGACAAGATGCAGCAAATACAGCCTTCCCATTAGTCAGAGCTTCTGGCCATTATAAATAGCAGTACACATAATAATGGTAATATGTGTTGCAGGTCCCAGCTCGCCCATTAGCGAGCTACACGCCCGCAGCAGGCGGCCCTAAGGCGCCGCCTCGATATGCCAGTAATGGCCAAGTATCGGCACACAATTCCAAGCTTCTTGCCTTTTAAGGAAGATGCTTTATTTGAGTCGCCAATTTTATTGCACGCACTGGAAATCCAGCAAAATATTGCCCCGTTCGTCCAGGACAAATGCGTTCAAAATGCGTGCGTCGGGACGCGCTCCGATATCGCTTTCCTTTCACGCGCGGTCCCAGCAATGAATTGGTCTCCCCTCTAAAGTCCATTGAAATATTGGCCGCCGCTCAGGATTGTGCGTATGTGATGGAGATATAAGAAGATTTAGGTTCAGTTTATGAACTTTAAACTCGCGATTTCTTATTACGTTTGCCATGCAATTGTCAGTTCATGAATAGTTTCTTGATACAGTTTGTGGGCTTTAAACTCGCGATTTCTTACTACATTTGCTGTGCAACTGAATGTTTCTGAATCTTTTTTGTATGATGCATTATCATTGGGCACTTTTTCATGATTTCTGGTTTACGAAATGACGGATTATTTACTCATGCATTCTTTGCGGTTATAATGTGATTTATGTTATTTTTGCATTTTTTTTTCTAACCGGTTATCTCTGATAGAAGTTACAAAATTTGCTGCATGTTTTTCCTCGAAAATAAAACGCTTTTTTCTCGACCACTAGCAATTTTGGACTCCGATAAATTATTCATCAATACAAAATTGTTCAAAATATCCAATCAATTATAAAATTCCATTAAATTAATTATTTAATAATTGAATGTATATTGAAACACGTACATATTAACATACTGCATATGGACATTGTAAACCTATAAGATTTCGATGTAGTCTCCCTTGCATTAAGGTGTGAAGTGGCATGTGAAGAAGTGATATAGAGCGGCAAGATCAGTAGTGGATGGCAGGCAGTGAGAGGTGGTGTGAGAGTGGATGGCAGGCAGTGAGAGGTGGCGTGAGAGTGGATGGCAGGCAGTGAGAGGTGGTGTGAGAGTGGATGGCAGGCAGTGAGAGGCGGTGTGAGAGTGGATGGCAGGCAGTGAGAGGCGGTGTGAGAGTGGATGATTATTTCTTTTTAATTGCCCTCGAGATTTAGAGGCTGTGGAGATTAGAGGCTAATTCAGAAAAGGGCACTGAGTGGCAAAGAAAATGTGGGAGTGTCAAAGAGGGGTAGGAGAGGGAATAAGTGATAAGAAGTAGCAGGGAGGGGCAGGGGGGGGGGGGGAGGGGAAGGGAGGGGCAGGGAGGGGCAGGGAGGGGAAGGGAGGGGCAGGGAGGGGCAGGGAGGGGAAGGGAGTGGTCAGTAAATGGCTAGAGCGACACCTACAAGAGATGCCCATCCCGGCCTGTATAAGCTACAATAACATCCCCTGGGGGAGAGGGGGAGGGGATGGTTGGGTGAAGAAGGGGAAATGGGAGTGAGGGTAAGGGTGAGGGAACGGGAAGGCGGATGAAGAAATTTCTAGGAAAATAAAAATATATGAAATGCAGGCTTGAAAAAGACTTTAAATGAGATGTTGATGTGTTGAATTTTGTGAAATATTCTAGCAGGCGGGAAAAACGAGCTTATTGCAAAATAGCGACATAATGCGCAATATTTGTGAGGTGCAGCGTATTAATAAAGCCGTGTCCAGCCTCATGCCTCGCGTATTATTTGTGAGGTGCAGCGTATTAAGAAAGCCGTGTTCAGCCTCATGCCTCGCGTATTATTTGTGAGGTGCAGCGTATTAATAAAGCCGTGTTCGGACTCATGCCTCGCGTATTATTTGTGAGGTGCAGCGTATTAATAAAGCCGTGTTCGGACTCATGCCTCGCGTATTATTTGTGAGGTGCAGCGTATTAATAAAGTCGTGTTCGGACTCATGCCTCTCGAACAAAGAAGAAGTTCTCTTAATTAGGCTCCTCTCAAAGATACGCTCCCAAACTTCGCTAATGAGCAAAAGTGAAGCTGCGCAGCAGCTGAATTGCAGCTCTGTTTTGCAGCTGCTGCTACAGCTGCTACAGCTGCTGATGCCGCTGCTACAGCTGCTACAGCTGCTGATAACGATGCTACAGCTGCTACAGCTGCTGATGCCGCTGCTGCAGCTGATATATGTAGGTGTTCTAGCTGATGCAGTTGCTGAAGATGATACATCTGATATAGCTACTACAGCTGATATAGGTGTTCTAGCTGATGTAGCTGCTACAGCTCTTTTAGCTGATGCGATTGTGGCAGATGCGGGTGGTGCTAATGGTTATAAAGCACCGTCGTTTTTTATTCTATTTTGTTAACTCTAATCACTAATAAACATGTATAATGTCATTTTCACAGACGCTTAACGGTTCTATCAGCAATGGGATGTTTGAGTAGAATAATACAGGCCTCTACAGATGAATTTCAATCACTATCATTGTTATCACCCATTGATATTAATCGTCTTTTCCGCCAGCAACAATCTAGCTTCGCCGCCTACCTAACTGAATGTCGCCATTGCTACTTTATCTAATTAACGATCATTATCATCATCACGCGATGATTACTCTCGTCATTACCCTCATCCTGCGTCCCCAAGTAATCCTCACAATCCTATCATCCCTGATCACAACCCACGTTATCCCCGCATTTTCCTATCATCAAAAGAACGCAAATGCACGTCCATTTTTTTCGACAAAATTTACGTAATTTTGCGAATTGTTAGGCGGAAAAAAATTCGCACCGACAAAGAGACTTGACAAACATTTCTGCGTGGCTTCAAACGGACGATTGCTGAGAACTGAGCACCACAGCAATACAGGATTAGTGTAGGATTAGTATAGGATTAGTGTAGGATTAACCCTTAAGTCCACGGCTGCGCTCATTACGCATGCTCTGAAAAATGCTCGTGTGTTCACAACACGGCATCAAAACTTCGTATTTTTAAAAAGTGTTGTTTCAGTTGCGGTTAAAGTTTGGTTTCGTATTTTTCTTTAGGAATTAAGTAAGCGCTAATGTTGTTATCATATTTTTTATTACACTTATTCGGTTTCTACATTCAGAGTACGGTTTGTGTTAAAAAAGTTACTCGGTTATATATTAAAACGTTTTTTAATATTTATAACATTTTTCCAAATGATTAAATATTTACATTTTTTAGGAGCATATACAGATTACCCTATTGCACATTTATATTTGAATATCATATTGTTATATTATCTAAATCTCATTGTGTTGGATTTTTGTCACATTGGTATTTTCGTAACTTTTCACTCGTAAAATATTTTTGCACCTAAAATGTCCTCAGGGAAGGTTAGCGAATCTTGATCGAATTATTCTTCCTAGTCCACACATTTAGGCAATAGGTGACGAATAACACTTGTCAAATTCCAGGTATCTATGTTTAGGTACAAGCTGACCACAAACTTTAGTAAAATAACAAAGGTTGAGCGATATAGGCCTATAGCTTACAAATATTTTCGATTCGGTCTAATGTCGCAATCTTGGTAAAATATATAAATTACAAATCTTCTAAAACATTTGTGTGCATAAGGATATTCGCTAACATGTGAATTTTTTTTTAGCGACAATTTGGAATTTGTTTTCAAGATGCATTTCTTCAATGCTGACTTTCTTTTAATGAGTGACTTTTTCTCGTTACTTTTACGGTAAACCGTTTCAGACATTGCATTCATTTCATTTTAAACCCGATTTGCTTGTCGATTTCTGTTCTCAAGCAGCAAATGCTGCGTCAAACACTATGGTTCCCATTGAAATAGGTTATCTGCAAATAAATTTTCACTATTATTTGAATTAAAGCCACACAACTATCACAATTTAACCCCTAATTACATTTTATGATAAGTAACCTACACATTCCAGCACGGCACTTGAACAAAACTTTCTTTATTAACTCACTTTGAAAACTTTGTGATTGAATTTTAACCTATAATATAACTTTAATATCAGTAACAGCATTTACATGTTTTACTCAAGGAAATTTCTGAAAAAATCATAAATAAATATGAACTGTTAACCCCTCTCAACCCCTCCTAGGACCCATATCTTCATTCTTCAACCCTCCTAGGACCCTTCTCCAACCCCTTCCATGACTCCTTTGGGCCCCTCCAAGGATCCCTCCCTCTCCAACCCCTCCAAAGACCTACCTCCAACCCCTCCAATGACCTCTCTCCAGCCTCTTCTAGGATCCCTCTCCAACCCCTGCAAGGAACTCTCTCCAACCCCTCCCGGGACCCCTCTCCAACCCCTCCAAGACCCCTCTCCAACCCCTCATAGGACCCCTCTCCAACCCCTCCAAGCACCCTCTCCAACCCCTCCAATGACCCCAGTCCAACAGCTCCAAGGACCCCTCTCCAACCCTCCTAGGACCCCTCTCCAACCCCTCCCAGGACCCCTCTCCAACCCCTCCCAGGACCCCTCTCCAACCCCTCCCAGGACCCCTCTCCAACCCCTCCCAGGACCCCTCTGGCAGTGTCGCTGTCAATCGTGCTGCTAGAGCTGCTGCTGCAGCTGCATTTAGTGCTGCAGGGATACAGCAGCTATAGCAATCGCTGCACTGCAGCCTCCAGAGACATGTGCATAGTGTTCAGTATACAGCTGTATAGTGTTCAGTATACAGCTGTATAGTGTTCAGTATACAGCTGTATAGTGATCAGCATACATCTGTATAGTGATCAGCACACAGCTGTATAGTGTTCAGCACACAGCTGTATGGTGATCAGCACACAGCTGTATAGTGTTCAGTATACAGCTGTATAGTGTTCAGTATACAGCTGTATAGTGTTCAGTATACAGCTGTATAGTTTTCAGTATAAAGCTGTATAGTATTCAGTATACAGCTGTATAGTTTTTAGTATACAGCTGTATAGTGTTCAGCATACAGCTGTATAGTGTTCAGTATAAAGCTGTATAGTATTCTGTATACAGCTGTATAGTTTGTCCCGGTTTTTATTGCGAACCGGGACAGAGCCTGTTGTCTCGTCTCGTCTCGTCTCGGATTGAAAAAAATACCAAACGCAGGAGTCTACCCACAATATTTCGGTGCGTTGATTTATGCCTTCTTATAACTTGTTTATAGTTTTGATGATCATTTGTTATATTTGAATATTATAAGCATACATTGAAGTTTATAGGGTTGATATATTTATGTTTGTTCTTACAGGTACAATTTTTCATTCAATAAAAAGGAAATTTGTTGTTGAAACCGTGGTTATCCTAAAACCCGAACGCGGACTTACGGCAACCCAAACTCAAAAACGGAAAGCGTTTTTACAGCATTATTGAATTCTGTGTAAGGCATCTAGTGGATGGAGGAAATCTAGGCAAGGCATCTCGTGTAGTAAGGTATTCTATTCAAAGCTACTAGTGTTTGAAGCAATTCTAGTCGAAGCTTTTAGTGTTTAAAGCAATTCTAGTCGAAGCTTCTAGTGTTTGAAGCAATTCTAGTCGAAGTTTCTAGTGTTTAAAGCAATTCTATTCAAAGCTTCTAGTGTTTAAATCAATTCTAGTCGAAGCTTCTAGTGTTTGAAACAATTCTAGTCAATGCTTCTAGTATTTGAAGCAATTCTAGTTGATGCTTCTAGTATTCGAAGCAATTCTAGTCAAAGCTTCTAGTGTTTGAAGCAATTCGATCTAGTC